AGAGAGAGAGAGAGAGAGAGAGAGAGAGAGAGAGAGAGAGAGAGAGAGAGAGAGAGAAGTTAGAGAAGGATGAATATAGTTAAAGTATGGAATATGTTTGTGTGGAAAGACTATAAGTATGTACGATATTAAGAAGGAAGCTTACCCAAACAAAGACTATAACTAGATGGAAAAAGCATATGCAAAGCACTAACATTAGTGAAAATGGAAAAACTGTACTTTAATTTCCATGGGAAGCATGAAATTGTTATTAGACTTTAACCAAAATAAATGTCTAGGCTTGTTTTGTCAAGATAATCAAGCAAAATGTTTTAAAGACATCATTACTCAAACAGATTTGTAAATGTATTTAAAAAGTACTGACTTGTAAGTTATAGTTATAAAATCCTATAGGAGAATTTACATTCTGTGGTGTCAACTCGGGTTCCCATTACCTGCCCCGTTGTCCCAGAGCTCCAGTGTGACTTGATGTCCATGTTCAGCTTCTATAGTGGCTGTGACACTGGCTCCCAGAACAGGCAGAAATCCTTGGCTGACTCGTGCATACACAATCATTGGGCTAGTGTACCGTGCTGTGTTTTGGCTCATGTGAGCAGTTACAATTACTGGCGGTGTGGTAGGACTTCTTGCTCGAGTGGTCACCGTCACTGTTAGCAACTGAGGTCCAGCATCCTTATTGGAGAGGCTGTAGGTCCAAGTCCCTGTCTGAAAAAGTTTTCTTTAAGAGCTTTGTTAATATTTTCCTGCTACTTGGGATGTACGATTATTTGGAAATGTAAACAAAATAAAACCACTTGGGGGGTACTGGTGATGCAACCCAGACTTCGTGAATGCTAAGCAAGTGTCCTACTAAAAGTAAAGACTTACATTCTTAACCTAATTAATGACTAAATATGACTGTCAAAAGAGAATGGGTAATAGAGATTTGGATGGTTAGATATTCTACTTAATTTTTTTTTTTTTTTGATTTTCGAGACAGGGTTTCTCTGTGTAGCTTTACACCTTTCTTAGAGCTCACTTGGTAGCCCAGGCTGGCCTCGAACTCACAGAGATCCACCTGGCTCTGCCTCCCGTGTGCTGGGATTAAAGGCGTGCGACACCACCGCCCGGCTTTTACTGAATTTTTAATGAAACACACTGTCATTGTATTAGTGCCCACAATGTAGCAGGTCTTTGTCTCTTAACACAGGATGGATTAATGAAACACAGTGAAAAGACTTACTTCTGCGGTGCCTGGTATTAGAAGTCGAGCAGACTGCATATTTAATTGATCATCTTTGAAATCTGAGGTTGTGTATTTGTTTCCTTTTGGATCTTGAAGAGTAATTTCTGGCTTTTGTATTGTCCAGGTGACAACAAAGAAAGTGTCATTTCCAATGGTACTGTCCACAGGCACTGTACCAGTTACCTGTTTCCTCCCTGCAATATTCAAGGTTTTGCTCTCCAACTGTGACAGAAATAAAAAGCAAACACATAAAGCCCACTTGTTATTTTAAGTAATGGAAGTTTAATATTTAGGTAGTTCATGGTAATTTAAAATTCATATTTAAGGTTCAATTACAATGACAAAGAATATTTTCCAAATCTCTCTCTCTCTCTCTCTCTCTCTCTCTCTCTCTCTCTCTCTCTC